CACCGCCCCCCCCCCCCACCCCCCCCCCACGTACTGCACTGGTACATTGTTGTTCCTCCATCAAGTGTTCCTTTGGATGAGTTTTTATCCTGCTGCTTTTGGAAATCCTGTAAAAACAGTGAAGCTGAGAAAAAAAAATCCTTTAAATTAAAAGAAGCCGTTCTTTACAGACTCCAGGTTTGCATGTCTAAAGCTAAATATGTTTCTGATAAACCTAAAGTATAACAGGCAGTTATCTAAGCCCTTTGGATTGGCTATAGCATTAACAATGCCCCAGAGATGTCAGCTAGTTTGGCACCCAGTCAGCACATACAGCAGTGTTTGGATCACCTTGGGCAAGGTCCTGTGTGTGTGTGTTCATCTTGTTGCCATGGTTCCTGCTGGAGAGTTTGACACAACATCTGCAGCTTATAGTGCCTCATTACTGATGAAATCACTCCAGTGGAAAGTCAGCTCATATGGGTGTCCTTAGTGGGCCGTGCTGCTCCAGGTCCTCTCTGGCTACGTTCCTAAAGGTTAGCTACGACAACAGAGTACAAAAACATCTGTGTAGCAACATGCTTGGAGGCTAATTGAACCAACGTAAGCCCCCTCCCCCCCCCTTCATTCCCTCTTGTTCTGATGATGTGATCTATTTACTGGGAGGTTTGCTGAACGTCTGTTTGACGTTAGCGCTTGTGGGAAAGGCAGTTCACACCATGTAGCGCACATAAAAAGTTCCAGGCTGCTGAGAGAGTAAAAAAGAGAAGAGAGAGAGGGAGAGCAGGAGAGAGACTTTATCAGGCATTTGGTAACAGTTATCTCACAATCCCTTCAGGGACTGAAGAAATAGAATAAGTTTATTGTTTATTATACATGAGAGCTGCTTCTTCTGTCCCTATACTCTTGTAATTTTTTTTATTTATTTATTTATTTTAAACTTTGATCTTGGTGAATGTCACGCATCTTGTACTGGGTGATGATCTAATGACATAGTGATGCGACAGAGGCCAAGCTGATAGCAATCCAGGCAGGAGTCCATGAGTTCTTCCTTTTTTTATTGCATACTTGTGCTGCAGCAGTGGGCTCCACCCAGCCCCAGACGTTAATAACAACAACACCCTGCTATGTCAGGGACAGTCGCTCCTCACATGTCAGCTCTTTTACACAGATCTGTGTTCTCTTATTGAACACAGTGTTTCTAAAAGCTATTGAAATGAGACAAACCATTTCAACCCAGTTAATACTAGAATTCAGGATCAACAGGGCCGACGTAATTAACAAAGACTTTTCCAGATTATTTGAACTAAACAGAAGGATCTGTCTGCTCACAGTCCAGCTTTACGTTTTGGTTTGTATCCATAAGCAGTCAGATGTTTACATTTTCCGAATGCTTTTGAATACACAGGAAACAGTTGAACCCATGTCACTGGAACATAAATCACAAGGACTGTATGTTAGCAGGCTACGCAGTATTTTTCAGTTGTTTGCAAAACTCATGATGACTATTACATAGTTTGCTAATCTTATTTACATTGTCTTATTGACATTAAATAATGAAAAGTATTTTTATTATCAAATGTGAAGTAAGCCAGTGTTGGTCAATGTACAACAGCCATTTAAAAGGAAGGAAAGTGCACACAACCAAATGTGACCTCTGCTTTTAACCCATCACCAAAGTGAACAGTGAACAGCTTTAAGCACCTGGGGAGCAGTGAGTGGGGACAGTGACATGATCAGAGCACCTCAGTGGCAACTTGGCAGCTGGTGGACTCGAACCTGAAACCTTCCGAACCCTAAACCACCAAGCCACCACTGCCCATGAGGCTGCTGTTGTTGTCACATCTATACTAAATAGAAACCTAGGTAAAGGTTTTCCAGTTACTAGGTTGGAAAACAAATGTATTCCAAGGAAGCACAGAAGGTAAGTCAATGTTTCTGAATATTTGATTGTATGAAAACATTTTAACCTTTTGTGTCAATACAAAAGCTGTCATTGTTGTTCCCAAAGTCAGGGTCCACTTGTGTTTTCCATTTGTACTTTTACCTGTCATATTTCCCAGAATGCCGTCTCCAATCATAATTCCTACTTTTCAGTTGTGAAGGCACGATTTTTACCTGACCTTTCCAAGTTGTCTCCAGTCATGAGCTTGAAGAGGCGGCAGGAAGGAGGTGACTGCTCTTTCAACTGTGACAAAATTCTGTAAGTTTGACTGTTTATATATGAATTATTGTTAAGTTTTTCTCTTTATTTGTGGGACCTGAATTATCTCAGTAACAACTCTGAAGAACATGCTTGTTGCTCCTAAGGACTTAGTAGGCAGCTTTGCTTTTACTTGGTTCCCTGGGCCATATGTTAGGGGGGGAAGTACATTACAGGAAACTTAATTAATAATAATAATTAATTATGGACTTAATAAGAAATGGTTTAACATAAAGAATCATTTTAATTAGCACCTGAATCAATACATAGACGTAAAGGTGAAGTTAGGTGACAACCTTTGCAAACACAGCAGCACTGGAGCTATTTAACCTCTTTGTTTTTGCCTCTAAACCAGCATGTTAGCTAGCGTAGCCTACAGTATGCTTTCTTCGTGTTAACTGTTTGCAAGTAATGAAAAAGACGAGGCAACGTGTCTCATCTTCAGTCACTTTCCAAAAGACTTCCCTGTATGCTAACGTCAATCCATTTAATCATTCGTGTTTCTTCACGGTTGGTTAACTAACCTCAGGTGCGCTGCTGTCCACTAGAGGCAGGAGTGTGCATAGCGGTGAACAATGTGCTATATATGAGAGTCGTACCAAAGTTGCAAGTTGAATTTATATTTTTAATGCGTTTATGGATGTCATTGTCGCTCAAGACTACCGTCAGAAAATTCTAATTTAGTTAAGGGCATCTCAAACGGAATGTAATCAAAAAACACCTGTATGTTCTCGCGTGTTTGTTTAAGGTCCGTGACAGTTGCAGCAGAGTGACGTGCCCAGGTTGGAAAAATAAGAGAACAGTCCCCGCCCCCTCATCAAGCTCCAGGAATCAGCCGTGTGGGATTTTTGGGTACAGTAAAAATGACCAGGGTTTCGTAGTGCATGACGGTCTGTTCACGTATAAAGCATGCCGTAAAACAATTGCAGGGAAAGAAGAAATACTTCCAATTCGTTCCACCACCTGCGGGACAGCTAGCCGAGTTTGTTCGCCAAAGAAAAGGTATATATACAGTAACTGGATTAAATCACATCATGTTCACAACTTTGGCAACAATCAAGCATTGATTTGGTAGTACGACACGGGTCCGTCTGTTAATAAACGGAACCAAAATAGTAGATGCGGTTTATTTCATGGCCACAAGAAATTAGACAAACGATTAAATAAACAGAAACGTCTGCTGTGGATCGTAGTCGGTGACTTAAATAATTTAAACAATTGTCCTGGTGGAATAATGATTGGTTCTACATACATAGACACGCAAATACAAATACTGGGTTATACAATTAGTATTGTAATTATATTCTGACAATCCCAATCATAATTATTAGTCCTCCCCCACCCCCGTGACCCTCCTTTGGGCCTTGAACCCCAGTTTTTGCTGTAATAAGGTTTTACTTTACTTTGCCTCTTAAAGGTAACTTTAAAATGCGCAGAGAAAAATTAGGAGTTCTTTCCGAGTGAGTGTCATCTGGTTTTGCCTCACTTGCTGTTCTCTCTCTCCCCCTCCGTCCCTCCCATCTACCTCCCTCCCATCTACCTCCCTCCTTTACTCTCTTTCAGTCTCTCTCCCCCTCTCTCTCTGTGCATGGGACCAGACCCCTGCCAGAGACTTGTGTTTTTTGGCACAAGGGGAGGAATGACGTCGACAGGCGTGGTAATAACAATGAGAACACTATTAAGACCAGACTAGGCTCAGTTTTTAGGCTTTAAAAGTTAAAAAATGAATTTAAAAAGGGCGTGGCTGTAAAATATGGAATAATTTTGTGGGGGTGACAGTGTCAAAACCTGTGGTGGTTGACGTGAAACTTTCACTCGGACTCCAGTATGTGTGTGTGTGCGCGCCAGCGGAGTTTCCTGTGAGTGCGCACAGAGAATCCGAGGCTGTTACAGTACATAGGAAATGACTCATAGGAGTTGAACTGTTAGCGTGGGTGTGTGCGCTATTAAAACAAGGCGCAGACTCCTGCGGGTGACTCACTCTCTCTCTCTCCCTCTCTCCCTCTCTCCCTCTCTGATGCTCTCTTTTCCATGCTGAAAAGCTGAGCAGGAATTGTTAATCAGATGAACTTTCGGGAATCGTGAGTACTCCACAGCAGAGGCAGCGGTTCTCCCACCAACACCATGGCTTCTCCTGACGCTCTCTGCGCGCTCTGCGGACTCTTCATCGCGGCTCTCACCCATCTCCAAGCCGTTAGCGCACAGAAAAGTAAGTAAAATTAACATTTTGTTTCCCACTTAAAAACACAGTCAGGGACAATTTGTAAAATTCTGGAACTTTGTTGTATCTTATTTTGCCGTGATGTCAGTGGAAAAAACATCTCTGTGGCCCATTTTGGCACACTTTGGTCCAAGTCTGTGATGGTGGGAACATGGATGAGAGCGCGCTGATCTGTTTGCCTATAATGGAGGCAGATAGTGGATCGTTGGCTGTACGCAGCCGCTTCCTTAACCAGCTGCATTTCTCACCGGTTCCGCATTCCTTTCGCCTTATTTCACCGCATCCATCCCTGCTGGGTGCCCCTGGGTGAGACGCACCGAGCGCATGGAAAGCCTCGGCCTCCTGTGTCCACTTTGCACAATGATTATTATTTATTTTCTTACGGAAACGCAAGAAAAAAAAGCAGGGCAGCTTTTGACTTGCTTCTCTCAGCCCCCCTGCAGTTTGGACCTAGTCCCAGCAGAGCTCAGATTTGAACATTAAAATTGAACAATGACATGGATGAAGATCACACATTCAAAATGAATCACCAGATGCACTTTTATTGCAACAAACTCCTACCCGAAGCGGGTTTGATCCACATTCAGATCCTGCCTGTGTGAAAACCACCTCTACATCTGGACATCAGCTGTTGCGTGGTCCACCCACCCACTTCCACATTATGACAAAATGCTGCAAGCCCCTTCATTCTCCCCCAAATAAAACAACACCCTTTGTCATGCTAGGTGCCGAGACACGCCAAGGTCTCATAAATGTTCATGGCCAGAAAACATAACTTTTTATTTTTATTTTGCACAGCCGTCACATATTTACAGTGCATCTAAAGAGTTTACACATCCCTGTAAAAATGCCAGGTCCTCTCTGTGGAATGATGGAATGAAGACTTTTCATTCCAGTTCATTAATGAGACCAAAGAAACTGAAGAAATGAGTTTGCAGAGCGTAAATAAGACTTAACCCAAAGCTTTTTGTTGATGACCTCTTCTTTCAACATGTCACGTCATGTTCTTGTCATTTTACCAAATTCTTCTCCTCATCTGATTTTTCTTCATCTTCCTGTGAATGCTGTGCTGCCATTCCAATCTGTTCATGATTCTTTCCAAGTGTTACAGCAACAAAAAACAGTCTCCAGAAACATCCACGCCTCCTCTTGTTGTTCCACTGATGTGTTCTTCCATTCAGTTCTTAGTGTGACAAATGGTCAACATACATTTTAACTTAAAGGAGTTTTTTTTTATTCAAAGTTTAAAGTTAAATGGTTAAAAAATACCTTGTTAGCCTTGGTAAAACAACCGTGTTTGGGAATGTTGCTTATGATTAAGCCTTTAACCTTTCATCAGACAAAGGTCAATTTTTCCCAAGTGCACTGGGAGGCTCGGTGAAGCTTTTTACGAAGTAAGATCTATTTTCTTTGTTAGAAAATACTTTTATTTCACAACTAAAAATGACAGTGTACATGAAAACGACGCAGTGGTAGAACTTCTCTATTCCCACAATGCAGGAGGATGTGGGTAACTGGTATCAGTGTCTGGATCGTGTGCACCACCAGTGATGGCAGGGACAAGTCGAAGTTCTTCTTCCGGCTGTGGTGGTCACAGCAGTAACATCCACAGATCTTCTCTGAGGTCTTCCTTTTCTTCTCTGGCCTTCAGCTCCACCGATAACATTATTCGTCCTCAGTACTTGTCTAAACTTCTTCTTCTTCATTCTTCAACAAGTTCTCCTTCTACAGGTGACACTTACATATTTGAGAAGCAACCAGTGTCGGTCAGAAAACTTGCAGCTCCTTCACATGTTGTTCCAGTCTTTTCTCTTTGAACAGTTTTCTTCATCCTGTTCTCCAGTTTTTATTTTTCACTCCCACCGTGTTTCTGCCCATGTGGAGTGACCTGACTTCTGCAGCTTCCTCAATTTAACAAATGAGTCCCAGGGGAACACATACGAGCACTGAGCTGTGGCTCAACATGAAATGTTCTCCTGAGTTTAATCAGCAGTTTCAGGTTTGTTTTGTGCAACAACTACAAAAAGGCTCCTCTGCTCAGATGTGGCTTTTTGGAGCGAGGTCAACAGGGAGTCACGGTTCAGTTCATCTCAGCGGCTTCTTGAACTGTGGAGTGTGAGTCCAGATGGCCTTGGCTCGCAGGAACTCTGACACATTTTTTTTCCTGTGACCACAAGCTATAAAATGCGTCAGTGCGGCGCTGCAGGCGGGTTTGGCCGTGGAGGACACAGAGTCTCAGAGGAGGAGCTGAGCATGTGGCTGCAGCATTAGCAGCGTTGTGGAGGTCAAAATGTCGTGAACATGACTTTTTAAGCAGGTGCCTTTCTGGCTGCAGCTGGTTAACAATGACCTGTGCTGACTGGCAGTCATGTATAATGTATTCTGGGTAATGTGAAACTAGGAATGTCGTAATGCATCACAGACTCCTGTACATTTTTGTTGAAAGTTCTGGAGCTTGTGCTCATGGGAAAGTGGAGTCTGTCTCTGTTCCCCACATTCTTCTTCAGTTTCCTCAAAGTGAGTGAAGGAAAGAAAGAGCAGAGGGAGGAGAAAAAAGAAAGACACAGGAGTGTTTTTCTGACTTTTAATCTGTATGAGTTGAGAGCATGGATTGCACATTTCCCATAATTCATCTGAATAGCTTCTTTCATTGGTCCCCTCCCTGCAGTCTATAGTGTATGCCCACATTTTTCACATTACAGGCTCACATTTTTAACCCTCCTGTTTTTAGCCAAGTTTTTTTCAGTTATAGACATGAAATCAACTTATCGACAAGTCGGTGACTTTTACATTCATATGAACAGTTTTTGGCATAACTGAGGTCCATGGACTCATCAAAAGGGTCACATTTTACTAATTGTAATTATAATTTTATTTTAATTTATTATTAATTTATTAATAATTCGTTAGTGACAAAATGTACTGTTCCTTGATCTTGATCGTCTTCTGAGTGAAGAATCGCATGTTTAATGTCTCTTGTGCATTACTGAAAAAATATTTTATGCAAAATGTCGCCGTCTGCTGGTCACACATAACCCAATCGACTGCATTCTACAACTGTTTGACAATCGACAAATATAAACGCAGCGTTTACGCGTTTTCTGAATCAGTACTGGAATTGTTTGTCATTATTTTAATTCGTTTTTCTTCTATCGAAAGATCAATTTTACTCACGTTCCAGACGGAAGTTAAGCGTAGGGATACATTTTATGATGAAATCTTTTCAGGTAATGCGGTCGGTGGTTCGGTTTATCTCCGCTAACAACAAGGTCCGGCCAATAGGTTTGTCTGCACGTCATTAACGTTTTGGGCGGGAACTTATTAGTGAGTGCAGTTGGTCTTTTCAGCCAATAGAGGGCAGACAAAAGATTCGCCCTCTATTGGCTAAAAGGAACAACTGCACTCATTACAAGTTACAGCTCAAAACGAGTACGATGTGGGGCTGTGACGTTCAGACAACTCCATTGGCCGGAACTTGCTGTTGGCGGAGCTGAACCGAACAACCGACCGCATTTCCTGAAGGGATTTCTCATAAAATGTCCCTACGCTTTACTGCCCATGTGGAACATGAATAAAATAGATAGAAGAAAAACGAATTAAAATAATGACGAACAATGATAACACCGATTCACAAATAGTGTACGTATCAACCTTTGAGTTTTGCTACTGTTTAATGACCGTGCATCTAAAGCGGCTAAATTTGCCACTGCGCCGCCTAAACGCTGCGTTTATATCTGTAACGATTGTTAAACACTTGAAGATTAGTGCTGTGGGTGCTGCTCGGCAGAGGGCGACATCGTGCAGACAACATTCCATCAAAACTACCCTAGATGAACATGAATTAAATAGATACCTTTTCGATAGAAGAAATCTGAATTAAACAATTAAAATAATGACGAATACTGATATTACTGATAGAAAGAAAGTTAATATCTCAACTTTTAATGATTGTGCTACTGTCAAGGGCATATATGGGACTTTTGAACTGGGGAGACCAAGCTGTCAGTAATAGAACTATATAATAACTATTATCATCTAGACAGATTGCTGGATTTAGGCTCAGCATGAGCACATGGTGTAGACAAAAGACGCCGTACAGTCCATACAAGTGTGACTGAGGAGGAAGGAAGGCTGTTCCAATTTTGTCCATCAGATAAGTGAAGAGCAAAGGGCGGGGGGCATTTTTGCCCCCAGGGGTCCACACATAAAATAAGTGAAGACCCACACAGTGAAAAATGAGAAGCAACTTTTGATACTAAAAACTGCTCTAGTATTCCTTGAAATTTGTATGCGTGAAGCTAATAATAAAAAGACTTGTAGTGTATTTTATGTCACATCACTGAAAGTGTTGCAGCAAAACAAGTCTAGTTAATAAACTATTGTCTGGCACAGAAATAAGAAACATTAGGTCAATGCTTTGGCTACATTAGCTAAAAGAAAACCCAAACTTGGTCAAGGTTTCAAACAAGATAAAGTTAGCCTAACATTATCCCCATGTTCCTTTTGGTCTAACTTGTAAATGTTGAAGACTCCACATACATTGACATCAGACAGCAGATGTAGTAGAATAATAATGCTGCCTTTATTCCATTTTTTTTTTCTTTTTAGAGAGAGGGTCGTTTTCTTGTTCCCTTTGAGGATGACGTAGACCGGATAAAAATTGTCCGTGGGCCTGATCTGGCCCTGAGGCCATATGTTGTCCATGTGTGCAGCGAGTGGCTGTGTCTCACTGTTGTATTTTCTCTGACATGTTTCTGTCTGGTGCTGGTTCACTCCTGTTGTTGAGCTGGGCTGTAACGTTGTTTTTCAGCGCGATGTCACAACACTCTCTCTCCTATGACCTTGGGGTATTAGTGCATTCTTATTATCTTAACCAAACCCAGGATGTCTAACCACAGCAGTGAAACAGCAACAACAGCCCCCTCCTCTCCTGACTGCCCTCCCAATTCCCCTCTCTTTTTACACTTTATCTTATCAGCGTCAGGCCTTGTCACCAGGGCTGCTGAAGAAATACAGGCCACAGCTTTACATTGTGTTCAGCGAATCAGACACAGACCCGCGTCCGCAAACCTGGTTCTCACAGACTTGTTGAAGTATTCTCTGGAAGAGGCACACGTTCGCTGAGGCACAACAATTCACAGGAAACACTCTGCGAACACACATCCTGCTCTTCACACACAGGCTGCCCACGAAAACTACCAGAAAACTTACTGAGTAATTCACTGTGTCTCTCTCGCTCTCATGCAGTTTGGGTTGCATCAGCAGTCTGACCAAAAGGAATTTCCCGGTTTCATTTTTATAAGAAGAAGAAAGCCACAAGAGTTCCTCCTGTGTCCTGCTGCAGGTCACAGCTGCAATAACTGATTCCAGCTGAGCTTCCACTGCACATCAACACATCATTCCATTTCTACTTTCCTAGAACTTCATCATCAGACACTAATCCTGTCTGTGTCTCCAGTACATTTGAACATTTTCTAAGCTGTTGTTGCTGTTGTTTTTCTTTTACCCCAAGTGTCTTCATCATTTCTCTCTGATGTTTGTCTGCAGGTCAGTGTGGCAGTTCAGAGTTTTGGAACTCAGATTCGGACAGGTGTGTTCCCTGTTCAATATGCAAGCAGTACCCAAAGACTCCATCGTGCAACACATGTGAGTGATGAAAACTGTTCTTTACATCCTATGATCGGGCAACTACCACGGTCAATTCAGACCAAAGAATTAACCTAATCCTTTTAATAGACTTGAAAAGGTCAACAACGAAATAACTCATTTATCTGACCTTCTGTGGCTCACACTCGCTGCAGTAAGGACTTAGTACACAACAAAACTGCAGTAGCTCTTTAGTAGACCAATCCAAATACTGCTAATGTTATTATTTTTTTGTCATTTAAAAAAACCTCAGATTGTAGTTCAAAGTACAGTGGTCCCTCTCTATATCACGGTTCTCCTTTCGCTCCCTCCCCTTTTTTTTATTCTAATCTCACGCTGTATCGCAGTATTTTACGGTAAATATTTTTAAATTTACAATAAAAAATGTATTAGACAGTGGGTAACAAGCTGCAGGGTGTGCGTACACTCTCTCACCCCCCACACCATCCTACTTTGAATGGCAGGGGGTGGTTTAAAAGTTCCATAGCAATACAAGTCCTGACTGTGGTGCAGGCAATGAGTTCAAATTCAGGCCAGTCTAAGACAACTGAGACAGGGATGGACAGTGGAGCTAACCAACACCTTTCTGGGGGTTAGCTCCAGTGATTTATTTTGGGAAATCAAGAATCACCATTTACAGCCAATTAGATTTCAAGTCAAATCAACTTTATTGTCAAATATGTCATACATGGCAGAGACACAGTACAAATGACATTTCAGTCTTTTCAGACCCACTGCAAATATGCAGTAAAAATAAATGGGAGGAAGAAGACAATAATAACGCTGACAGCACTTTAGTATAAAAAAACAACAAAATAAACACAAATGATGTAAAAACAAATGAAATTGAGCAGATGAAGTCAAATGTGCAGTTCCTGGGTGTGTGTCAGGTGAAGGGGAGGCAGGGGGAGTGGGCTCTCCTGAAGTCCACTACCATTGGTCTTCTCCATGTTCAGGCAGAAATGGTTGTCCTTGTACCATGTGACTCAGCTCACTCCTGTAGATTGTCCCCTCACCCTGGCTGTTCACCCTACCACAGTCGTGTGGTCTGTAAACTTGAAGAAGTTGAAGCTTAATGTCCAAGTGCAGTCGTGGGTCAGCAAAGTAAAGAGGAGGGGGCTCGGCACACATCCTTGGAGGGCCAATGTTCAGCATGGTGGTCCTGGAGGGGCTGCCGACCCAAACTGCCTGCGGTCTCCCTGTCAGGAAGTCATACAATGTCTGTCAGCTTAAAAATCAGAGTCAAATTTTTACCATCAGATTCATTTAAAAGATAATACCTTCAAACTAACACACTACTTAAGACACAAGGTAAATACATTTAGATAACTTTAATTACATTTTACTAATGCACTACTTTTTTTTAATTTTTTTTAATCTTAGGTACACCTCCAGATGACACTCCAGACGTGTGGAAACTAGCAGCCATCACCAGCTTCTCAGTGCTAGCTGTCGTCCTCATTGGTGCAGCATTGATCATCGGGGTCATGGTGCATCGACGCAACTCTCACCAACGACCTCTACGTGGTGAGATTTAACAGCCCAAAATTTTAACATGTGACATTTTACCTCCTTTTTACTAGAAGAAAAATGTGGCCCACATTATGGATACCAGATGTGGACTCGACAAGTTAGCGTTGGGGAGCAGTGGTTTGGGCTGGGCGTAGACGGGAACATTTGTTTTTATAGGAGCTTGTTTCTTTTGTATTGGGGTTAGTCTGAGCAACAACATGTGCAAATGTAGAAAGACGAATAATCTCAAAAGCAGTTGAAGACATTCCACCTCTAATCCAAGAGGCTTCATCAGTTCTACTGTACCTTCCAGGTATTTATCTATCCACCCCAAAGGGGGGTGTGGTGTCGAGTAAAGTGCTCATGGGCCTGAACAATATGACTGTTAAGTGGTCATGTGAGTCGTTGGCCCTATGGTGGATCGTTCCCTCTCCTTGTCCTCGGGGTGGGGGTCGTTGGTGTTACCTGAATGGAGGTGTGAGTTACGTCTGTACTTCCTGGGGAGAGAACTAAGGACAGCGTTGTAGGAGGGTGATAGTTGGTGTTCTCTGTTCAAAGATGGTCCTTCCTTACATTGGGGAATGAAAGCAGCCATTAGACAATCGTATGGCTCAACACAGGAGGGCCACAACATCAGGCCAGGACTCAGCAGTCCACCTCCACCTGAAGGAGAAGGGACACTCCTTTGATGACCAAAAGGTGCACATTCTAGCTAGAGAGGACAGATGATTTGAGAGAGGAGTGAAGGAAGCTATCCATGTCCAACTGGAAAGACCATCTTTGAACAGAGGAGGGCGCCTCAGACACCAACTATCACCCTCCTACAACACTGTCCTTAGTTGTCTCCCCAGGAAGTACAGACGTAACTCACACCTCCATTCAGGTAACACCAACGATGATCCACCATAGGGCCAATGACTCACATGACCACTTTACTTGACACCACACCCCTTTTGGGGTGGATAAATACCTGTAAGGTACAGTAGAACTGATGAAGCCTCTTTGATAAGAGGTTAAATGTCTTCAACTTACTTGAAGTGAGTCCAGTTTCCTACTTTAAAACTGCTTTTGATCTGCTTATTATGGTGACCTGGATTGCTGAGAATATACACAAATATCTAGAAAGAAGAACAGAACTGAAGATGAAGGAGTTACTCATAAAACCGATTACCTCTGAGAGATGATGCAACCACTGTCAAAATTCATTCTTCTCCCCGATAGAAAGCCGATGAAGGGACAGTGCTGTATTCTCTGCAAAAAAAAAGAAAAAGAAAAACAACAACAAAAAAACATTCAAATTAGGGAAACAACAAACACATGTACACATGAATCTTCATCTAAAATGACTTCCTTGTTTTACAGAACCCATCGAAGAAACCGCTGGGCCACTTTATCAAGCTTAAACATTTAAGTACGTATGATCTTCATGTTTGGTCTCTAACAGCAGTGTGTTTTTCAGTGACTGAGCTAATGTCATATTTAAATCAATCACTAGGACTGTATGTGATAGTGAGCTGAGCTATTTTTTTGTAGTCACTGCTATGGAATTATGACTGCCATTTATGGATTTCTGATTAATTATTGAAATTCTTAGTTTGGCCCACAGGCACCAACATCCATGTTCTGATGTTCAGTCTAAATCTATCAGATCATCTTGAGCATTTAAGTCCCTCACTGATTAGTTGATTAGATACTTGCTGTAGTGAACAGCTGTACATAATGAATTGGCCAGTAAAGTTCTGTTCCCCCCCACAGCCTCATCCTCCTCTGGAAACAGATATGACAGAACCTAGACTGGCACAGAGCTGGACGCAGGAACCTCTGGACCATGAAGTGTGAACTCTGACTGACAGCAGAGTATCTCCTGACCAGAACCAGGCCTTTTTTGTTTTTTTATTTATTTAACTGTTTTTGGCGAAGGGATGTGCTCAGTTCTCGTACTCGGTGTAGGATCCTGGACTGACCAACAGGACCTGTGCTGAGCAGCTCTCACACCTCTGTAGAACAGGTGACTTACTTCTGTAGCGTGGTAGCATTTTTAGACTTTAAGTGCCTTTTATTTGTCATATAAAAAAAAAAGAAGAAATCTTACCAGGATTGCAGTTCTGTTCCTGTTTTGTGTCGTGGTGTTTCAACAGCAGGAACCCAATGAATGTAACCCAAACTACTGCTGCCTGCTGTGCTGCAGCCCCATCCCATGACTTGGTGCTGGGTCAAACTGGGTCTCTGCTGGTAACTTACCACAACAACCTCTTCAGACACACCACATGTGAGTGAGACAAACAGGTGGGCACATTAAGGCCGTTTGAATGTAGCTTATTTTAGGTGAACTATCTCCCAGCCTGACTTCCTGTCAGTACTTACATGTACATGTTCTTCTTGGTGGTCCATGATTAATGTGGCTTCAGGGAGCGTCAGGTCTTACACACACCTGTCGAAAATATATTGTTTAGATGTCATTAAAACAGCATTTAAACAATTGAAAACTCCATTTGTCTTTCCGTCCCATAATTTAACAGACAAGTCGCCGGCAACACTAGACACAGATCCCACACTGCTAGCACACACTGTGTGTGGAAGTTAATATTAAATGTATTGTAGTAAAAGTATTTGCACCTGGGGTGTTTAAGGTGGAGCTACGCGATCGTGACGCTCGCTAACTAATGGCGTGTCATTAACTTGTGTTTTGCAACATGGCAGACAGAACAGAAAAAAGAAAATCCTTTTTGGAGTCTGTTTGTAATTTTGTGGCCATCCAAACCAGTGAGAACATGGTGGGCAGAATTGTTTTCCACTTTTTTTTAGTACAAAATGTGTGTTTTCTAATCTTTAATCTCCAGGCCGCAACACAAAAATGATGTGGTCGCTAAGAATTCTTGTGATATTTTGTTGCTGACAAATGTTTCAGGTCTGGTCTCTGATCTGTCTGCTTTGGGTAAAACTGCTGCCCTCTGGAAGCAAAAATGAATGATTCACTTAAGACACAGATGTCTTCTTTTTTTCCTTGAAAATAGATGTCTATATTATTTATTTGTGAGCAACTCGCAGTCTTCGGTTGCAACAACTGTGAGGGACAAGCACATTTTCTTCTCTCAGAGGGACTCCAGTAAAGATAGGCCAGACATGGATGTTACTGAGCATTACCTAATAGTTTCTGCCTTTTCCTCTAATGCTAATGTCTTACCTGTATATACTGTACATGCACTGGCTTCTTGTACCTACTGCCATCCTATAGGCTGCTTTGTGTACCAAAAGTATTTTCACAATAAAACAGACAATTTAACAAAATGTATGCCCATGAAATTTTTTTTATATTAAAATTTATATTTTTAACACCATCAAATGTTCTTTAACAATATAAAGAAATAAAGGTGTTGAAGACCAAAAAACTTGGGTAAAAAGTTGGCCATCCAGAAAAAGACAAGAATATTTTGAAGAAGTGGAGGATGGATAATTATGACTTCTTCTGTGGTAAACGTATGACATCTCATAATGATATTTTTTGAAAAATTAAGACAAATTATTCATCTGGGTGAACATTTTAGGGCATAAACTTGCATTTTTGGCCATTTTTAAGCATTTTCATTTTTTTTGGAATTTTTCACGATGGT